TGTGTTAACAAATTTTTGTCTGTTTCAGAATTTAATTTTTTGTAAGTGGTGTTCAGTGCATTAGTTTTATTCTAATTTCGAGCTGTGGGAGGAAGGGTGGGCTCGGGCGCAGGTTTTTCGTCACATGTGGCGAAAAGCTTGCGCAAATTGTAAGTGTCTTTTGTTCTAACTTGCACTCATCTTAACGACACTTTTTTAACTTGTTAGATATTAGTTTGTAGTAGTAACCTATCATTTTTATTGTCAATTGCTCGAAACTTAAAAGAAAGTTCTTCCAACTTTCTTTTTTAAACATTTTCTTTACAAAGTTTTAGATTGTACGAGTGCAATTTTAGAACAAAAGGCACAGTTAGGGATTTTATAATATGTATTGTAGTATGAATGAGTGTGTGAAAGTATAGGATGCAGGACCTATTCATTTCATCGTGGGATCACAGAGTTTTTCAAATTCTAAATAATTTTATTTTTCTCTTTGAAGATTTCAGGTTTTGTTGCTATTTTACAATTTTGCGCCGAAGTTTTCAAGTCTCTTCTCTATTTTATTTCTTGCACCGAAGTTTTCAAGACTTTCTGCTATTTTATTTATTGTTCTGAAATTTTCAAGTCTCTGCTCTATTTTATTTCTTGGTTCGAAGTTTTCAGGACTTCCTGCTATTTTATTTTATGTTCTAAAGTTTTCAAGTCTCTGCTTTATTTTATGTCTTGCTCTGAAGTTTTCAAGTTTCTTTGATATTTCATTTCTTGTTCTGAAGTTTTCAAGACTATTCTCCATTTCATTTCTTCCACTATATTATTTTGTTATTTGGTTGGTTTTTAATAAGGGTTAAGGGGTACTTTCATATCATGTGTGAATATTATACACGAAGATTGAAGACATCGATCATCGTGGGATCATCGTGGGATCATCGTGGGATCATTGTGCGATTGTTAGTTTTGCTAATGCGTTAGTTTTAAGTCGATTAAGCTTTAAGTTAGTTTTAAGTTGTGTGTGCTCGTGGGCGGGCGGGTGG